AAGCTCCTGGGCGGAAAGCCATCGCGACGTACTCGAAACCTTTCTTCGAAAGTGTTGCATAAGGATCGTCGGGGGATGTCACTTTGCGAGAGAACAGAGACATTTATTGACTTTAATATTGAAAATGGGACGTCTGAAGCCTTACCTTCATGCCCGTAAACAATCCTTATGATTAAAGACGCAATGCACCTATTTAGAGAATCATCAATGCTAGGCGCAAAATATCCTGTCTCTCCCTTACGCTTGAGTATGTGTATCATAGTTCTCAGGGTCGCGAAGCAGAACCCGAAGAAATTTCTGCATTTCAGCCTTTCGAGTGTCTTCAAAGCGTACAAGGTTCGGAGTTTCAAAAAACCTCTGCACCGGCGCGCGTTTCTTTCTCCACTCCGCGCCATACGAAAGCGCCGAGAACAACCAATCCCAGCGTTGCCTACGGCGAGATCGTAATAAGTAAAAATGACTTCCAGCTGTATATATCACAAGCTCACAGATCCTTGACCATTACTGATTGAGGTCGATCCGAGTAGTTGAGGGGTTTTCCTTCGAGAAGGTCGACCGCGATGTTGTATGAGTTTATTACGATAACAGCTTTGCCGAAGCTCTTCAGGTAGATAATACCGCCTTCAACATGGGTTATTAGAGCTTCAAATCGCAGTCAGATCATCCGCATACCGAAGATTTCCCCCCACTTTCGAGCGGTCTCCCAGATTTCGGGGCTCAGCATATCGAGTGTATTTCCGATCAATGGGCGACCTGGCGGACCCGGCGGAAGAGGCTCGCTTTGACGAGCTCGCAGCCGTTTAAACCATTGGGCAGCGAGTAGTATTACGACGCAGTCTACTAACAGGAGTGGGTTCAAGAGCATAGTGGAGGGGCGATGGCCATCGCACTTCACATTCTTCACCTTTAAGTGCCTCATAGGATTCACGCAGCAATCGCAATTGCAAAGTATCAGCCCCTGAGCCCATAGAAAGACGAACAAGGTTCTGTCTGATAAATTAGTGTCCTTTATGATAAGACAATGTTGAAAACTTACATCGTCGATAGTCACTATCTCAATAGTGCCTGGGAAGTGCTGCGTCACTGAAGCCCATTCATGGTGAATCTACTAGTATCAGGCTATCAAATCTCCATTCCAAAGAGTATAAGTTACCGTTGAGTAGGATAAATGTCACGGGGTCTCGCAAAGAACTCTGGAAGTCAACGAAGATAGTGTCTGTGAGAGCGTTGAATTTACGTTCGCCACCGAATCGCCAGAGTCATGTGTAGCCGCAGTGGCATTACGATACTTACTGTATTGAGAATCTAGCGATCTTGAAGCTTCAGTGTGAGTTCCCCAGGCAATGTACCACAGAGAAAGCAGGCTAGCAGACGCGATTCCTCTGGCAAAATCTCCAAAAGCATCGTCGTCGATTCGTATGAGTCCCGTCGCCTTTGTAAAATTTCGAATTCTAATGCAGTGCCTGCACCGCCACATTCCCAGCGCTTTCTTGCGCGCTTTCTCTCCCAGCAGCCACCAAGCAGCATTAATATTGCCCGCCTGATATATATCCGGAAAACATCGCACAGAAACCTCTACAACAAGAGATGCTCCACACTAAGCAGTCCGCAAGAAGAAAACAAGACAAATCGTATAATATCCATTCACAAAAGCCAACACGTGAGCGATATCATCTAAGGCTAGACAAACAATACTGTGGTAACTATAGCAGAACGACATAACGTAGTCCATCCGTCGGGAAGCGTGTGTAACAGAAACATATAGAGAGAAGGAAGTAAAGTAGTACAAGGAGTGTATACAAGAAGTGCGTACGAAAATAAATAGCCCAAAGGAGAGTAGTATTGAATATGTGTGTCCAATCTGAAGCAAGAAAAACAAAGGGGGAGATGGGAAGAGGAAAAACATACTAAACCAAACAACAATATTGAAGATATTTGTCCGTACTTAGGCCCTCATCACGAAGGCGGAGTAGTAACATCATGTCCGTGCCCGTGTCCATGTCCACTCGGTGTGCTCGCGCTCCTCGTACCCCCACCAACAGGTGGAGGCGGAGGTAAGCTCGTTCTCTTCAACTTCTTCAGCACGTTCCTGCTCCCATGCGCCGAAGCTGTCCCAGTGGACGTCTCTCTGGAGAGCGCCCCGCTGCCGGAAGGAGACTCGTGATGTACCTCAGGCGATGCATTGGCATGACTCGAGGCAGGCTCCTTGCTCACCCGTGACGACGGCAGCGTCCGACTCCGCGACACGCTCCCCGCGCCCACCGAGCCCGAACGGTTTACAGTCGCAGTCCCACTACCAAACCCCGACCCGCTCCCCGAAGGCCCAGGCGAAGGAGGGACCCCACCCGATGCTGAGCTGCTCCGTCGACGCCCGACTTTCCCGCTCCCGCCCATGGCCGCCGACCCCCCGCTCGCGCTCGCAAACGCTGGCTGTGCGCGCTCGACAAGTTTCCAGCCACTCGCTGCATCGCTGAGCACCCTCACGTGTCCCCTGCCATTCCTATCGGAGGGGAATGCAGCCACCTCTTCCCCTTCGAAGATCTCGCTTTCGCGTATTTGACCTGGATACGAATGAGGTACGACACCCGCGTGCCCACGCGATTGTTGTTGGACGGGCTGATGAGGCGATGGAAGGGTGGAATTTCGTGGAGGAGGCGGGGGAGGAACGTCCAACATAAACCAATCCTGATGCTCAATTAGAAATTCTAACACCTTCTGGCTGAGCTTGTGCTCCTCTGGTGAGAGTTCGTGATTAGGATGCGAGAGTAAACCGGGACGGAAAATGACAGCCAAGTCTGTACAACCAATTAGTCAAATTGCATACCTAATAGGCAAGTAAACCATACTTGAGGCGGTCATCAAGTTTTTGTCTGATTTTCTTGAAAAAACAGACAGAAGATCCAACACGTATAGCAAGAGGTATTGATTTTGCGGAGCCATCGATCGTATTAATAGGCGATATGAATTCCTAACTTCGTCAATAGGTCTGTTCTTGGCTTCAATGATTGTCAGCATGCTTTCAACATGAAAAGCTCGATAGTGCTTACCTAAAGGCTCTCGAAACTTGAAGAGTGAACAGGTCAGAAAGGTGGAAGACGTCGACGTCGACACACTCACTTTAGCATATAAACTAGTGGGTATCACAGGCTCCTAAGAAAATGGATTAGAAGAATGCATCATCAAGAATTTAATTCTGTCTTACAGGTAACTGAGTGAGGTATCTTCGGAAAACGCTCGCAACATCATGAGGAGTGTAGAATTCCTTCGACCAATCAAGGTTTTTGCCATACTTAAAGAGACAAAAGTGTGAGACGTTGTTGAAATGAGGTCAAATTAAATAATATACTCTAGGAGGACTCTCGAAAAGCGCTTGCAAGTCGCGCATTCGTTTCGTCGAGCCGCTGACGCGGAACGTCCCTTCAATTTCAGTGGCTATACAAAATGTTAACATATATTGCGAAGAGTTTGCGAATCTGTAGGTGACTGACCATTCTCCTTCAGATAAAGACCACTGTAGATGTCCGTAATCAGCATCACGAAACACTCGGAGAAATTTAGGATGTAAAGCACCGAGGCATGCTACGTAACATGCGTTCATTAGGCGCTCATTGACGTAGAAGTACGTCACGAAGATGAGAAGAAATAATGACACGAAGTATGCTGATCGGGCTAAAGGAAGAAAATACGCACCATTTTGCGACTACGACGGGTATATCTCCCCACACATATAATTGACCGTCCACATTCGCCGTCGAAATTTGAACGGAAGCGTATAGCAGACTTTCTCGCAGAGGAACGCCGAATACGGGATGAGGGGAGGTGTCAACTAAGAAAGCGATGAATGAGGCACAAAATCATACGGAATTTCACTGTTCTCGCACCTTTTCGAGGATAATTGGGAATATCTTTTTTCATCCCCCTCTGCGCCGTAAATTGTTTCCACCATGCCTTGAGGTTCGCCTTGTTCGGTGGTGAAGTCGGTGGAGGTTGCTGAGTGCCAGACTGCCCGTACGCTGGAGGGAAGTGCGACGTGTCTCTCGTCATTGGATGCGGAGCTCTTGCCATCAGACGTCGAAAGCGTGTCTGTCGAGACTTGCCACTCTTATTCAGTGCTTGGGCACCCAATTTCGTCCCTTCGTCGTCTGTGAGGCTTGCGTTCACCTGAGGGTCTGCGACCGCAAGAGATGTTGATGATGGTCCAGGATCCGTCAGCGAGACGGTGTCCTCGGCCTCTGGTATAACTTCGACAGTCGTGCGGCGCCCGCCAGGTCGTGTTCCGCTGCCTGCTCGTCTCAACGACCCGAATGTCCCAAACTCAGATACCACAGATGAAGAGGATCCACCGGCTGCGCTGACGTCGTGCGGCTCCTCGTCGTGCGTCTTCTGTGCGTCCTGGCCCTGCGACGAGGAATATGAGGAAGGTCCTGGGTCGTTACTGGTCGCGGCGCTGGGCGTGGGTGTGGGGGGCTGAAGTGGGAGCGTGTTGCTGCGTTGTCTATAACTTCGTGCCGCCGACCTCGCGCGATCGAGGATCGAGAAAGGGCGGCTGCGGCGCCTCGACGACGACGCGGGTGATGGGGTCGCAGCAGAGTCAGACGGGGCTTCGGGCGATGCAGAGTCAGGAGGTCGGTCTGTGGGTGCGAGAGAGGTGGACGATGGACCTGGAGGCGGTGATTGAGCCAGAGCGGTCCACGATTCACGGTCGTTCCAGGATGGAGGAGCGTCGTAGCAAACGTGAAATGAAATGAAATGAGGGAGGAGCAACGAACGATGAGGAGGAGGAGGAGGAGAGGAAAGAAAGAGGAAGAGACGAAGCACAGGTCGCTAAGCCTAGCGCTAATGCGTCGCGTGCCTTCTTCCTCTTACCGCTCGCATCAAAATACTTCGTCGCCTCAGGAACAGCATACGCGAAGTCTCGGACGGCGACAAAAAACACTAAAATTGATCAGTTGACCGTGAATGCGGAGTAAAATTGTATGACGAACGGACCAAAAACAAAATGCATTAACCGAGATTCGAACTCGGGTCGAGACCTAACGTGTTCGTAGAACTACTGGGAAGATCCCATGCTAACCACTACACCATTAATGCTCATGAACTAATGGCTCTTACAAATTATATAAATTGTTAGTATAGCTCGCAACTCGCAAACTTCCGATGATTGTGTTTTGGCTTCAACGAAGGCTTTGCTTCGTCCATTCATCTTCTCCTTTCCTTATGGTCATGCGCCATCTTTGGACGTATCTCTGTGAGAGAATCATAGTATTCGAACGGGCTTTGTGAGGCGCTTCAGCATTCGTTCAGCTTGGCAGATTGTCTTAGTCCAGGAAAGTTGGACGCACTGGCGGTACCGGAAGGCGAGTGCACTTTCCCGTCATGATAGATATCAAGCCACCCCTTGGACTAAGTTCTCGACCCTTTTCTCCAGATGATGTCCAATATCTTGCGGACAGTCGAATGGCATCGAAGAAACCATTTTGCGAAACAAACTTGCTTGAATGTCTTTATACCCGAACTTTGTTGAGCGAGATTATTTCACCCGACAGCTGTCTTCTCATCCAAGGCCGTGTGTTTCCCATTCCAGTGAGTACGGTGTGAGAGACTCTCAAGCTCGCATAAATATAAGACGCCGATGTAGCGGTGGCGAGTGCTAGGAACCAAACTACCCTCACGATCTACTTTGTGATCATGAAGATTTCACTGACCGACTGTGTCGTTGTGGCTACCGCTTATTTCTTGCATAGGCGACTACGCGAGAACAAGAGGAATTCGAAGCAGCTCCCCGGACCACCAGGGTATCCAATAGTCGGAAATATGTTCGACACAATGACCTCGGAGCTTTGGGAAACAGCACGGAAGTGGGGCGATAGATACGGTATGTTTCTTCAAGACTGTTTTGTTTCTACTAATGAGTTTTCTTAGGAGGAATTATCAACCTGAAGATCTTCGGGCAATCCTACGTTATCATAAATTCATACGAAATCGCTGTCGATATCCTTGACAAGCAATCTCTGAATACCTCCGACAGGCCGAACTCGGTTATGGTCGACGAATTGTAAGAGTGATATCTTTACGAAGCAACAGGTTATTATTCATTTACGGCATGAAGACAAGGGTGGAGCTGGATGCTAGCAAACATGTCCTACGGCGAGGAATGGAAACGGTTACGCGCCCCAGTGCAAAAATTCTTCGAACCTTCAAATATGGTTCAGTTTGAACACGTATTGAAGAACGAGGTGCAGAAGCTTCTTCGATCCCTTCTTCGCTCTCCGGAGGACTACGAGAATCACATCGGAGCGTAAGCAGTTCGGAAAAAATAACGATGACAAGATGCGTTTGTAACAGAACTTCCAGCGCTATGGCTTCCTTTATTATGATGGTAACGTACGGTCGTGAAGGTCAGTGTCCCCCTTTTATATTAACGCTAATAGAATATTTATCTTTGCACATAGTGAAGTCTTCAGATGACCCCTTCGTATTAAGGGCAAGAGAAGGCATCGAAATCCTTTCCATAGCGAACCGACGGGGTGCTTATCTTGTCGACCTTATCCCGTGGCGTAAATATTTTCCTCGACGTGTACTGGTTGATTTGCTGACATCCTTCTAGTAAAATATATCCCGTCATGGTTCCCCGGTGCAGGATTCCAGACCGTGGCGAAACACGGGGCGCAGATTTCTCGGGACATACGCTATGTCCCGTACAACGATGTAAAGCAGAGATTTGTAAGTGATGCGTCATTGTTTATATCAAAGTTCCTGCAGAACATCACTCCCTCTCAGCTATCGGGCACAGTCGTTCAATCTTTCGTCTCTCAACTGCTGGAAGGTAGTATGGAAAGCGCCAGCACTTTGAGTGAGCAAGATGAAGAAACTATCTCTGCTGCTGGCGGAGTCTGTTACATTGGTTCGTACATTGATTAAAAGCACACTGTTGGAAGGCTCACTATACGACGAAAACATAGCTGGCGCGGATACGGTAAAATTGAAATCCACCTGTCATGTTCATTTGTGACGGACGCAACAGACATTCTCAGCCATTGAGTCGCTGTTGCTCGCAATGGTGCTATTTCCCGACGTTCAAGCTCGCGCTCACGAGGAACTAGACCGCGTCGTAGGCAACGACCGTCTGCCAGAGCTCACAGATCGAGACCAATTGCCGTACTGCTCGGCGCTGTGCAAGGAGATCTTGCGGTGTGTATGCATACACATACAACGAAGACGACTGCCGCTCATTAACCACCGTCTTTCGCTTTGGTAGATGGAATACTGTTACACCATTAGGACTTCCACATGCGACGCATAAAGACGACATGTATGCGGGCTGTTTCGTTCAAGCTGGAACGATTATATTTGCGAATCACTGGTATGGGTTCCTGTTGTTTCAGATAGCATAAAGAATCGAATGCTGACTGTAGAAAAAAGGGCGATGTCAAGGGATCCTGTCGAGTACAAGGATCCTGAAGTCTTCAATCCAGAACGCTTCCTTCCCAAGGCTGGGCAACGCGTGCCGAGAGACCCAGGCAAATTTGTCTTTGGGTTTGGTCGAAGGTGACTATGCTTTCAACGATAAGTTTTAAACTGCACTAATCGCATTGCACTAACAGGATTTGCCCTGGTAAAGCTTCAGCGGAGAACACGGTGATTAAAATGCTTTCTGGTAAACATTTATTGACTCACAACCAGGATGCTTCTCTCTCAGATCTTCCTCATGGCGACTCAGATCCTTGCCGTCTTCAATATTTCCAAGGCTGTAAACGACGATGGAACTTTGATGGAGCCTGTTGTCAAATTTTCGTCGGAGGGGATTTCTCGGTAAGTGCTCTTCTATCAGAAAAAAAAGGAAGATCGCGGAACAGTGACATGCATTTCGACTCAAAAATAGCCACCCAGAGAAGTTTGCGTGCAGTATCAAGCCTCGTTCCAAAGAGGCTGCTGGTCTCATCGCTGTGGATTGAGGTTTGTATGAGCACAGAGTTTATTACTTGTAGAATTTCCGAGGTGACAAGGAATTGTACTTCGACTTCCCCATTAATGTGACTGAATCAAATACGCATATACCCTGTTTTACAGACGTTCTCGACGCATTTCTGAAGCTCCTGATCAAGAACACTCAGCTACCTTGGCGTCTATCAGTACTGCAGTGCCCGAAATGAATTAGTATGATACTTCTTTCTTTACAGCCTTTGTGTGGTGTCAAGTTGCCCGCACGTTCCGGCGTGGCTCTATGAACGTCCTCGCCGTTGTTTTCATCCCCACCGTGAGCGTGGGGGAAACCCTCCCTCCCCCTGTCGGTGCGAGTGATATAAGACAGGAAAGCCTTGCGTTATAGGGGCTCTTCGCTCTCTTCTACCAATGCTGCCCAGCACTCCTACGAAAAATCTGAAGAAATCTGTGTACGAGGCCCTTGGCGACGGCGTGCCTGGAACACGTCCTCCTCGCCCTGCGCGCAGTCGAGCACCCGGCAGCACGTCGTCCGTTTCTACGAAGACTCGGACGCGTCGTAGCAGCAGGGCAAGCTCGGCCGGCGTTCGCTATTCGCTGGCTGAGCTGGACGACTATTTTGACGGTGCTATTCCTGTCCGTGCCGAGCTATTTTTGCCTCTTGTCTTCCCACGTGTTTCTTTTCTAACCCAACCCTATTTCCGCCCTTATATCATATATGTGCTGCGCAGCCACCGCACCGTCTCTCCAACTTGTTCGTCGACGAGCCCAACGCTCTCCCCGCCCTTCCTCTTCCCCGTCCATCGTCCTCGTCGTCGCTTGCCCTCCCGCCGACGCGCACATCCACCGCGTCGCTCTCGCCGCCGAGCACAACAACAGAGACAACACCGTCGCCACCGCTCCTCCTTTCTGCCGCAGGTACCGGCGCTCATCACCATTCTTCAACGCCATTCCAGGGCCAGGATCACGCGAGGCGCCTAGTTCCAGACTACTACAACCACCACCTTGAAAAACAACCTTTCCACCCTTTCGACCCCTACTCTTCCTCCTCGTTCGCCTCGTCACGAAAAGACATGTCGACCTACAACGCCATCGGTCAACAGGACAACTGGCTCGAGAAACAGCAGAAGAAGAGCAAGCGCACTCGTTGGATCGTTAGTTCTCTATCTCCTATCTTCGTCGTTGATTCGCCTTGCTCAACGTCGTCTTCGCCCTTTTCCCAACTAGATCGCTGGCTCAGTCACCGTCATCATCGCCGCCATCGTCATCGGTGTTGCAGTTGGAGTTACGGTTCATAATAACAACAGCAAAAGCAGCAGTAGCGATATCTCAACTGGTACTGGTGGCAATGGCACCGCGACGCCTGGCGCTGGCAACAACGGTTCGACTGTCCCTCAGACGAACCCCAATGACCCAAGCTCGTTTGAGAAGGATTCCCGTTTGATCAAGAGTTTCTACGGTATTGCCTACACGCCGGAGGGAAGCCAGTACCCCGCGTGTGGAAACAGTCTTTGTAAGTTCGCATGTTTCGTGGCGGCACTTGTTTTTGCGCCCATGGCTCATTGCGCATCTTTCCTTCCGTTTTTCAGCCCAGGTCATCAACGACATTCAGGTGCGTGGCCTTCACAAGGCATCCCATTCGGAAAACGGGGACCTTTACTGACTGCGGCATCACGAACCTTGCTTCCGCCGACTTCCATGTATCATTTTCTAATCCCCGCTCTTCGCTCGGCACCCTCCAGCTCATGTCCCAGCTGACTTCCGTAAGCGCTAATTTCGTTTCTCTTCCCATCGCGATGGTGACGCTGACGACGATCTTCGTTCTCAGAAAATTCGTCTTTATGGAGCTGACTGCAACCAATCGGCACTCGTTGTGAGTGGCAATTTTACCCATCAGTTCTTCTTGTTCGCTATGAATAGTCGTCTTTATTTACTAATTTATTTTTTGCGAACGCGTAGCTCGAGGCGATCAAGCAGACGAAAGTGGACATGCAGGTCTACCTCGCCAACTTTCCCATCGACACTGACCCGGCACCTTACCTTCGTCAACGTGATGCGATCGTCCAGGCCTTGCAGACCTACGGAACAAGCAACGTCTTGGGTGTCACTGTTGGAAATGAATTCATGCTCGAGTACAGCTTCACCCCCCC